GAGTAATTTGCGCGTAAAACGGACCTTCCCGAAAACTCTCCTCCGGATTCACATACGCTTCGTAAACTTCTGATTTGATAGTTAAACATGCGTATCTTAATGAATTCCAGTGATTCGTAAATAGGGCGCTCATGAACGCTCATTCACAATTAGCATAATCCCCGCCTATGAATTACAGCTACGCAAATTGCGTGTCCAGGAACGCAGTGGAATATTCTGGTCTACTTTCTCAGGTTTGGCTCCAGTATATTGCATAAATGCAAAAAAGATTAATAGGCCATATGCCTAACAATAAATATTCAATAACGTGTCCACCAAAGCGTTTTTAGCCAACTGAAAAATGTCAGGCGCTCTTCTGAAAACGCTTTGGTGGCACAGCGTTTTTCCAGCTGAGATGTTTTGATTGCTATAATTTGGAATATCCACGGCAGTAACGCATTACTAGTATCTCATTTTGAAGAATATTACTGGATATAAAAATGCAGTAACCACAAATGTTAACTTCTCTATTGTTGTTCAGTTGTTGTTCAAGTAGGATGACTGGTCGGTGTAGCCTCGTATTTGTCCCGCCCCTCCTCCATTGATTGGACGGCTGGGTAAAAAATGACAGTGACAAGCGCTGTGTTTTACCCAAAGCTAAACAGTTTATCAACTCCCAGCTACAAAAAACAAACAAAAAACAGAGCAGACGAACTTGTAAAATATTATGATGGCAGTGCATCAAAATTCAGTGTCATCAGTTTGCCAAAAAGAACTCAGAACGTTTTACGCACCATTTACACGTGGTAGGGAGCAGATGTAAATTTCTTTCGTACCAACTAACATTTTGAAAATACGAACACTTTCATGAATCCGAAAATTTACGTCAGAACAGCTTTACGAACGATTTACACAAAAATTTGTTCATGAATGAGGCCCAATGTGTGTATATGATCAGGATGGTACCACCTCTGCCTCATTTTGACCCAGGAAAAGCCCTGTATGTATTTATATATATATATATATATATATATATATATATATACACACAAAATATTATTAAATACCAATATAGCATTGAATAATACTACTAAAGCTATTAAATATTGAAATAAAATGTAAAAAGCTGAAATAAATTATAATATAGAAATATTAGATGAAAAACGTAAACAAAAATTTAGGTTAAAGTGCTAAGATCATTCAAGCAAAATTGAAGTAAAAATAAATTAAAGCTAAAAGCTATAAATATTTTTTAAAACTAAATACTTTTTTTTTTTTTAAGAACTAATAAAAATGAAAAAAACAACAACAACATAAAAATACCAAAGCTTAAAATGAGATTGAAAACTGAAAATATAAAAATACGTGCTAATATAAAATAGTAATAAATACTAATATAGGGTGTAAATACCTAACACTCTTATACCTGCATGTGTGAATTTGCGCATCGTGCGTGTTTGAGTGTGTTTACCGTCACTCTTGCCCTCCTGCTCAGGATAAGAGTTATAGAAGAGTCCCTTTCCGTCGTGAGTCCAGGACATGCAGGTGAATTTGACCCTCTCCAGTCGGTCCTCCAGAAGTACGGCGCCGTCCACACGCAAGAACCGGATCTCAACCCAGTCAGAGCCGCTGGCGCTGGTGCCGTATGCCAGGTACTCGCCATCCTCAGAGAACGCATAACCTGAGATTAAACCGCAAGCCTTAGCTGACGCTCAATACAGCATCAAACAAACAAAGAAACATCCAGCACCTCGTAAAGCAACCGTCCCGTCCTCTGAGAAGCTGTTTGGGTCCAGGAACACACTGGGCTCAGCTTCGAGGTTCTTCTGCATGTACAAAACACTCTGGTTCTGCAGACCAGTGTTGTAAAAGTGAAAATACCTTCAGGAGAGGGTTAAAAAAAAAAAGTGTTTATTAGGGCAGTACTTCAGAAAACATACACACATACACTTCCTGTCAACAGTTTGGAATAATAACATTTTTTTTTATGTTTTTGAAAGACATCTCTTCTGTTCACCAAGGCTGCTTTTATTTTATTTGTTTAAAAAAACAGTAATATTGTGAAATATTATTGCACTTTTAAAATAACTGTTTTCAACTTGAATATATTTATTCCTGTGATCAAAGCTGAATTTTCAGCATCATTACTCCATTCTTCAGTGTCACATGATCCTTCAGAAATCATGCTAATATGCTGATTTGCTGCTCAAGAAACATTTCTGATTATTATCAATGTTGAAAAGATTTGTGTTGCTTAACAGTTTTGTGGAAATTGTGATATATTACCATGTAAAAAAATAAATAAAATTAAATAAAATTAAATTAAATTAAATTAAATTAAAAATTAAATAAAATAAAAAATTATTTTGAACTTTCTATTCATCAAAGAATCTTGAAAAAAATTGATCAGTTTCCACAAAATTATTAAGCAGCACAACTGTTTTCATCATTGCTAATAATAATAACCATTATTAATAATTGAGAATCAATAATACTCGATAACTAAGCAGCAAATCAGTATATTATAATGATTTCTGAAGGATCACGTGACACTGAAGACTGGAGTAATGATGCTGAAAATTCAGATTTGATCACAGGAATAAATTACATTTTAAAACATATTCAAATAGAAAACAGTTATTTTAAATTTTAAAAATATTTCACAATATTACTGTTTTTACTGTTTTTTTATCAAATAAATGCAGCTTTGGTGGACATATCAGAATTCTTTCAAAAACATTAACAAAAAAATCTTAACTATTCCAAACTTTTGACTGGTAGTGCATGTGCTCACAAATAAAAAACAAAAGCTTGGAGAAACTATCAGAAGATGCAAAACATCATCGCAGTTCAAGGGACATCTGATGCCTTTGGAACAGTGTGCATTTGATAGTTTATTCGGTTGCAGTGCATAGTCTTCCATTCGAAGCGCATTACTCTAAACACTAATTTCATTCGTTATTATCAGTGTTCGTTCGCGTCTCACCTGTTCCCGCGTTTGAAGGGGCAGCTGTATTTGGGGTAGTCATAGAGTTCAGTCATACGGTCCTTAAAGATGTCTCTGATCTCACACTGCTCCAGGAACGGCAGGGTCAGATGATTCTGAGCGTTCACAAATGCCTGACGGACACAAAAACATCACGCATACAGAGTCATATCTCAGTTATACAGAATCATAATTCACATGCTCTTTCAGAGGAAGCGTCGTGTGGAGATCACCTGTGTTTTTTCACTGTCAGGATCCTCCAGCCAGCTGTACGGGTCACGAACTTTACAGCCATGATAGTCATCCACCTGATAACACATATACACATGCATCACATGAGCAGTGGGGTCACTATGGCAACATGATCACATCATAGTACAGGTGGAAGTTGACTCCGCAACACTGACTCAACCAATGCGGTGGGTTTGGGGCGGGACTATCTGTTTGATCGTCCAATGGCAGACAGGAAGAGTGTTTGAAACACAAAGAGTTTGACAGCATTAATAATGCTTAAATGTATCAATTTCTTTCAAGAACATAAACATGTCTTATAGAATACTATACATACATTCACACAATCGCTAAAGAAATATTTTGAGAATTTCTCAGATAAACAACCAGGACCTCTATTTCTTTTTTATCCATTAATTCAGTCTCTTATGGGTTCATTTACTTATTCATCCTTAATTCTCTCATGGATTCATTTATAATTTCAGCCATTCTTCACGTACTCAATCATCTATTCACCCATTCCTTTATGCAATTATATATTTTATCCATTCGTCACTCATGCAACCGTAGATTTTTCAATTTGTTGTAGTTATTTTAGTACATCAAGTTCAACCAAAGACTATAGAATACCCTACTATATAGAATAAAGGGACTTTGATTCAAATAAATAAAAATGAGAAATGTGGCTGAAATGTTCCCCCCCCCCCATAACACACACACAAACACACACAAACACACAGACACAGACACAGACACAGACACAAACACAAACACAAACACAAACACAAACGCGCGCACACGCGCGCGCACACACACACACACACACACACACCATGGTATATATAGCTATTCATTCATACATCTTTCAGCCATTCATTCATGCATTCATCTATTCACTTATTTCATCATTCCTTCCTTCATCTATCTGCTCTCATTCATCCTTCCATCTATTCATTCATGTCCTTTTTCTCTCTATTATTCAGCTATTCAGTCACTCACCACTGATTCGTCCTTATGGGCGTTTGGATACTGGAAAGCCATTATTCAGAGATCTTCCGAGCTGTTGAACAGATGAAATAAACTGAGACGAGTGTTGTTGGAGAGCTTAGTGTGTTTGAGAGCCGCAGCACAAAGTCCGGAATCAACAGTCAAAGACTCCGTACAAAGACAAACGCGCTGCTGGAAAGAGCGCTGGAATCCGCACAGCGCCCTCTGCTGTTCCCTCACAAACACGCCGGGCCGTGATCACGCATCATGAATATTAATTAGGTTCTGCTACGTTCATTCTGAATATTAATAAGCCAGTCTTTCACTGACTTGCACTGTAAGTGGTGATTATTATCTTGTTAATTATGTTTATTGCAATCCATAGGCCTACAATTGAATTGAATTGCATTTTACTTTTATTCAATGTCATTTTTTGCTCATTTTTATTTCTTCTCTTTTATGTAGGCCTAGCTACTTTATGGAGATCGCTGCACAGCGCGTGTATAAACAAACGACGTCGCGGGTGCAAGATTTTGAGTGAATGCGAAATGAAAAATACGAATTAATTCGAAAGACTTGAAATAACAACAAGAAATATTATATGGCTTCTTTTATGGTACTTTTATGTGCTGTTTGGAGCTTGACAATAACCATCCCCTCATCCCTCTCATGAAGGTGAGTAAATTACCTCTTTTTTATTTATTTATTTATTTCTCTTGTAAAGCACTATCATTTATTTATTTATTTAGTCCTATTTATTTATTTATTCATCCATCCATCCATTCATTCATTCGTTCATTTATTCATTTTTAAGCCATATTTGTATACTTAAAATATTTTGTTCTTGCAACACAGAAACGAAAGTATCAGATATACAGAAAGTCAGAAGATATCAGAATAATGTAAGTCTGCTTACAAAAGTTAATTCAGTTTATGTGTCTTCTTCATCAGAAAAAAAAAACTTAACATAACTGCCAATACAGGATCCTGGTTTTGTTTAATTTGAAAGTATCAGCTGAATTAATACATTTAAATAATGTGAGGGCTTTTTCATTATTCAGCATTGATTAGTAACTGATATCAAAACTGACATTTCTGAGCTGTCACATAGAGACCATGTGAGATTCTGCGAAATGCACATTCAAAGAGAGAAAAATACTCAGAGGGGTGGAGGAAGACATCAGGGTGGAGTTTGTCTTCAGATGATGTCTGGATGAAAACGCAAGTTTCTACACATTCAAGAGAAACAGAGACTGAGAGCTTGACTGCAACCTCCTCCTACAGACAGCTGGACAGAAGCTCACACTGACTCAACATAAGCCACAGTAAGTGCTTTTTACTCTATTTGAACATGCATTTGGTCTGTAGGGTATGGAGCATGTGAATCAGCTGAAGCTCAGGCTGAAGGAAACCTCTTCAGGTCAGATGTTGAGTGTGTGTTGTGGTCGCAGCACTGTGCGTGAGCGAGAACTGCTCTGATGTAAGTTTCATTCTTACTGCTTTGTTACTTTGAATTCCCATATCAGTCTGACATGTCGTGGACCTGTCAAACGTGTGCTTTTGGTCTTATTGCAATAAAAAAAAAAGATCAAGAAGAATGATTGCATTCCCTGAGTACAATTCTATTGCTCAGTAGTTTCTCATTTGTAGCTAAGGTTTCATATAATTATCAACTTTGTCTCAGATGCCTGTAAAACTCCTTCGGAGAATAAAATATACAAATAAAACAACTGGTGACATACGGTACAATAAAAGTATAGAGCCATAAAATGAATGCAAATGAGCTCATGTTTTTTGCTTTTGATTGCAAAGTTTGAGATGTTGAAAAATATGCATTTGATTTCATTTTGCTAAAAGTAGTCTTTTCAGTTGCTCATTTTGTCAATTGATTCCTCAGTTAATTATAATTAAAGGAATAGTCCACCCAAAAATAAAAATTTGCTGAAAATGTATTCCCCCTCAGGCCATCTAAGATGTTGATGAGTTTGTTTCTTCATCAGAATATATATGGTGAAATTTAGCATTGCATCACTTGCCCACCAATGGATCCTCTGCAGTGAATGGGTGCCGTCAGAATGAGAGTCCAAACAGCTGATTTAAAAAAAAAAAAATCTGCACACCTCCAGTCCATCAATATCCTTTGAAGTGAAAAGCTGCATGTTTGTAAGAAACAAATCCAATATTAAGGTGTTTAACTACAAAATGTTGCTTCTAGCCAAAGTATGAATCCATAATCAATAATTATGCTTCCTTCAGTCAAATAGCAATCTCCTCTGAATCAGGAGAGAAATATGCACAGATCAAGCACTGCAGCCAAAACACTTCTTAACATATTTTGGTGCATTTTGATGTGAGTGGAAAAATGTTTCACTGAAAGAAGCTTTTAAGCCAGAAGCAATGGTTTTAAGTTAGAAACATCTTTATGATGGATTTATTTGAAACAGACATGCAGATTTTTGCTTCACAAGACGTTAACTGATGGACTGGAGTGGTGTGGATTACGTGTGGATTATTGTGATGTTTTTATCAGCTGTTTGGACTCTCATTCTGACGGCACCCATTCACTGCAGAGGATCCATTGGTGAGTAAGGGATGTAATGCTACATTTCTCCAAATCTGTTCCCAAGAGGAAACAAACTCATCTACATATTAGATGGCCTGCAAGTAATTTTTCAGAATATGAAAAAAAAATAATAATTTTGGTGAACTATTCCATTAAATCAAGTAGCAACCAGAACACAACTGCATCGGAAATACAGAACGTTTTATCTTACATTGATCATCATGTGTATAATTGTTTGTCATTCACAGGTGTAATCTCCACTCGGTTTGATTATGCCATCAAAAACACACACAACCACAGCAAACGAGAGCATCGCTGAACAAACTGAGGAGCAGAAAGTGGATGTGAGACACAACCATCATGTTAAAGATCGGTGTGAGCCAGACTTTCACGGGTGGAAGGAAACCATAGCCCAGACATCATTACCCAGAAACCTCAGATTTGCATATCACAATCAGGTACATACATACATACATGTACAGTGGCACAAAAACCTATTTGGACACCTAAATCACACTTAAAAGTTCAAGGGTTATAGTTAAATAAAACAATTTGTTACTTAAAATAAAATAAATGTAAAATACATTTAGGCAACATTTCTCATTTTCATTTAGTTTGAATATAAATATTGTGTATAGTGTGTGTGTGTGTGCGTATATATATATATATATATTAGGGGTGTAACGGTACACGTATTCGTACCGAACCGTTTCGGTACGGGTCTTTCGGTTCGGTACGCATGTGAACCGAACGAGTTTTTTTTTTTTTGCCTCCGGAAATTCAAATAATAAATGGCGTTTTGACAGTCTTTGATGTGGCATGACAGATCGCTGTATAAACACCTTGGAGAGCCGCTTCTGGGACGGTTCAGAAACGTGCGGGTATATAATCCCAACACATATAGCAAAAACACTAAACAAAATTACTAAAACTAGTAAATAGTATCTTAATTATACTAAAATAACACTGGCATTTCACAAGCACGCTTTTCAATCGTAATATATTTCACAAATAGTGTTTGATGGATTTAAAAAAGATAAAACTACAGATACACTGTGTAGTAATGTGATGAACTACTCTGCTAAGATTAATGTGTGAACCTGAGGTGAACTGACGTCATACATCCACTAAAAATCAATTCATTAAAAGTTACACTTATATGCTCATGCACAAAATTGCTTCATATTTCAGTGTTCACAAAGCAATTTTACATATACAGAGGCTCTTTGTAGTCTTAACCACAAACACAACGTTTTTTAAAATTATTATTTTCTAATGGTGTGTCATCAGAAGGTGCTGGGGGTTTTCACCACAAAGGTCATTCCTGCAGGTACCCACTTCGGCCCGCTGCTCGGAGAACATCTTCACCCTGAACATTTGCCTGCAAACATCAACGGAAAACACATCTGGATGGTACGTCAGCAGATGTGAGAAAGATAAGAAGCGTGTTTGTGTGTGTGTGCGAGAGATCGAAAACCATTTTGAGTCATTGGGGTTCATATTTACCAGTCATGCTTCAGGGGTGTGTGCGCTCGTGTTGGGTTTCTCTGACGCACTGCTCCCCGCTTACATGTGCCAGTAAAGCTACACACTCGTGTCTCACACACTGACTCAGCAAGGAAGTGGCTGACAGGAGCGCACACACACACACACACACACACAAAGAGAGAGCAGTGTTTCCAGAAAACCTTAATAGATCATTCTGATGCATTTGCAGTACCACTGAATTTCACACGTCACATTCAGTCAATATTTCTGATGTATACATTCATTTTCTCAGGGTTAGAAATTTGTGGGGGGAAAATGGCCTCAAAATTCTAAAATATTAAACATTTATAAAACTATAAATTCATAGTGTAATATTATAGATATGTCTTATACAATCAAAAATGTAAAAAAAAGTATTTTTACAGGTGTATACAATAGGAAATATGCAATAAATACTTATTTAGACTGAAAATTTACACTAGCATTTAAAAGTTTAGAATCAGTAGTTTTTTTTTTTAAGAAATTAATACTTTTATTCAGCAAGGATTCATTAAATTGATCAAAAGTGTGGGTAAATACATTTATAATGTTACCAAATATTTCTATTTTAAATAAATGCTCTTCTTTTGAACTTTACATTCATCAAAGTATCCTGATTTACACAAAATAACTGTTTACAACACTGACAATAATCAGAAATGTTTAATCAGCATATTAGAATGATTTCTGAAGGATCATGAGACACTGAAGACTGGAGTAATGATGCTGAAAATTCAGCTTTGCATCACAGAAATAAATTACATTTGAACATATATTCAAAGAGAAAACAGTTATTTTAAATTGCAATAATATTTCACAATATTATTGTTTTTACTGTATTTTTGATAAAATTAATACAGCCTCAGTGAGCATAAGATATGACCCGAAACGTTTGAACAGTAGTGACACATAGTATGTTTTATTGGCCTATACTGAATTATGCACTCATAAATGTAAAAAAAAAAATCTAGAGGGTAAATATTGCTTTAAATGGAAATGAATTTGCTCTCTCTGTATGAACACATCAAACGCAAAGCATGCAAGTGAAATCTCTTAAGTTCAATATTATACTGGGAGAACTAAACTGAAAAA